GTTCAAACGGGTTTTTTACATGCCAGGAGATAAAAAAGCTTCACCCGATTGGTCTAAATTTTTACAGCCTAGGCGATAATCAATCACTTTAGTAGTGAGTAATGACAATATATTGTCATATTATAATACAGTTTAAATTAAAGACCGCTTGAGGAAAGTGGTCAAATTCCGGTATTGTTCTTTATTTTTGCTAAACGCAAAATTTTAAAAACCATAGGTAATTAAAATGTCAAAATATTTTGTCTAAGCATAGCCTAAATAAAAAATCCAAAAAATTATTTCTTATAAAAGAAGAAAATTCCCCTTAACCAAAATATACTGATCTAAAATTATGACGGTCCACAAATCTAAATATTTGTTTAACTTTTTTCTAATTTCAGCTTTGAAGTTATATGCATAATTTTAATCGTAAAAACCTATGTAGTTATAAATTATTAAAATATAGTCACGTGGTTTGTCATGATTTAGATGCGACCTATGCGTCTATTTTTAATTTCTTAATTCTATTTTCGATTTGTATTTCGTTAAAAATATTATTATTAATTTTCCTTGGATCTAAAATATTTCTGTTATGTCAGTTTAGTATTCATTTTTTGTTATTTATTGTGTCTGGATATACAGGATGTGCAAAATAGGTATATTTTGTAAAAGTTGTTTAAACTTCATAAATAATAAATAAAACTTATTTTTCCTTATTTAAAATATTAAGTCAATATTAAGGCAACAAACCAATTAAATTTTTGTTTTAAAACCCAAACTAAAAAACGAAATTTATGTTAATTGGATTTTAAATATATTATATAAATTAATGTTGTTTTGTAAAATAAATTTAGCAAATTATTACTAACACTCTTTGTAGATAATTCCCAATAGGTATAAGAAAATCGCAGTAAACCATTATAAAAAATAGTATCTAGGTAGTATAATAATTTTATCAAAACCTGTAAAACTTATTAAAAAACTACAAAATTACATATTTGTCTTAAAAATACAATTTTATTGGCTATTTCAAAATATTGGAATAGATTTTGATGCACCTGCCAAAATTTATCTTGTTAATTATTTTCGGGAGATATAAATTTTTAAAGTTATTTTTACAGGTGCACACAAGCCAATACAGAATTTAAAAAAAAGTAGTAAAACGCATAATTTAAATTTTTATATACAGTATGACCCATTTGTTTGCGACTCACCTCGGTAAAATCTTTATTTATTGTGCGATTTTAACTGGAATCGTTTTAAAGTGTAGATCTTGATAAACTGTGTTTTAAGAGCAAAAAACACCATATTTTTACAAAATACAAGGCCCTACTATGTCAGTTTTTGATAGTAAATTTTAAGAATTAATTTTAGCGATTTAAAAAAACTTTATGCACGGCACTGGATTCACCACCCCTCCAACCGACCCTATACCAAATTTTATTAAAAAACTTAATTAAAAATGCCCAATAATTACTATTTACAAAGTTATTAAGTTATCCATGAAAAAACAGTACAGTGCATAGATTTTTTTTAAAAATTGCCAATATGAATTCTTAAAAATTTACTCTCATAAACTAAAATAGAAGGCCTTGTATTTTAAAACAAATCCGGTTAAAATCGCACAATAAATAAAGGTTTTACAGGGGTGAGTCGCAAACAAATGGGTTACACTGTTATAAAATATATATTTTATATGTTTTACCGATGAAAAAGTTTTTTTAAGCAATTTTTTACGTCATTATAATGCTATGAAAATAAATTGTCCAATAACAGGTTTATATAATGTGCAAATAAAAATAAAATGAACTTTAAAGTTTAATTTATAATTTTAAACTGTTTTCTATTCCGTTGGTTAACGTTAACTGCAGTGCGCAAAAAAGAAAAAAGGACTTAAGGGGCCATTCCACTGTTAAATTTAAAAATATGGGTATTGAGTAGACTTCTTATTAAATTTTAACGATATGGGTTTATATCAAGCCTGGGGAAGTCATAACGGTTTTGTTAAATAGCTTTAAAAACAGAATATTTTACGTGTGTATTAATAAGATTCGTTTTGGAATATGCATGTACCTATATTAATGAATATTGAGAAAAAAAATTCCCTTAAAGTTTCAATCCTTAATCTTACTCCTAAGTAAGTATTTCACTACAATTGTGAAGTTTTTCCATTAAAATAACATGTTAACACAGGAAATGTAGGATTTTTTTAATTTCATATTAATTACGCTATTAGTATATATATATATATACATATATATATATATATATGTATATCCCTTTTAGCCTTTTTTGGTGCTTTTTATGAACTCTTTTTAATTTTCAAGTGCATAAAAGTCCGTTCTCCACTAATTTGTTTTTAAATTTTATCTACTCCTATTGTTAATATTGGGTTATAAACATTATATATTCCCTGCCTCTAGGCAGTTATAACAACGGGAATAATGAACTCATTATTTACGTTGTTTGGCATCAGTGATTGGCCGATTTCAATATTTACTGTGATTTGAACCAATCGGGTTTTAAATTGGAAGAAGGCGACTAAAATAACATTTAAAATTGATAAAAAGTGAGGTTTACCATTTGACAGATGTCAGATATTATTTATTTATTTTTGAAAATCATTTAATTATCTACTTATTGGAGTAGATAAAGTATAGTATTACATCCGAGATTTTGCGCATTATTCACTCGGATGATTTAAGTCTCTCGTCTGGTGACTCGAGACGCAAACCTTATCCTTGTGAATAATAGCCTGAATTATCTCTCGTATAAAAAAAAACAATTCCTAGTGTAGTAATTAGTAGAGAACGGACTTTAAGGCATTTAAAAATTAAAAAACGTTTTATTAAAAAGGTACTTTAAAAAACAAATAAGTTTATTCTAATATACGAGGTGTGTTCAGAAAATATCGGGAATTTTCGTTTTTTGAAACAAATAATTATTTATTCGTCTACATTAATGTTGTCGCCTTCAAAATAGTCCCCATTGGATATTATGCACATGTGCCAGCTCTTCTTTCAATACTCTAAACACTTTTAAAACTCGATCTTTGGGATAGCCTTTTGTTCTTTCAGCGATGCGCTTTTAATGTCATCTATGCTTGCAAAACGACGGCCCTTTAAGGTGCTCTTTATTTTTGGGTATAGGAAAAAGTCAGACAGAGGCATGTCTGGCGAATATGGAGGCTGGGGCATTATTACAGTATTGTTTTTGGCCAAAAATTTTGTTCAAAATTGAACAATTTTAGAACAAATTTTGCTGCCACGCGTTTCATACTCAAAAAATTTCACGGGATGAGCCAATCGATATACCAACATCATCAGCGACTTCTCTGATGGTTTACAACCATTTCTTCCAGTTTCTCCATGTTTTTATCGGTTGTTAATGTGATTGTGCGTTCGGGGCGTTCGTCATCTTCAATGTCTTCACGACCATCCTGGAAACTCTTATACCACTTGTAAACTCTTGTTTTACTTATAGCAGATTCACTATAGGCCTTTGTTAACATTTCACAGAATTTATTTCATTTTTTAAGCAAAATTGGATACAAATTTTTTGATACATTTCTTTTAACGAACGAAAAATCGCCGAGCTCATAAAAAACGTCTTATCTTAGCGGCTGCCACAGACAAAGTAAACCTCTGAAGTAAACTATGAAAACAGCTCTGAAGTAAACTATGAAAACAGCTAAAGTTTTTATCATACTTCGGGGGCATGTATACCAACATAATAAAGAAAATTATGACAACCGGACCCTCCGAACCCGCGAAATTTAACAATTCCCGTTATTTTCTGAAAACACCTCGTACACAAAAAAAAGGAATCATTACTAATCACTCATTCTCAAAATGCCTAAGCTGTCCCCAATGTAACTACTTGATTTTTCAGTAATCATTTAAACAGATCTCTCCGTGTATAATTAAAAGTATGATCGTTTAATGTCAACTTCCCTTGTGAATTAATGTCAATTCTACCTAAATTTTTAGAGAAATATAAAGAAATGGTTATTTATTATACATGACGATAAAATGTTATTTTATCGACAAAACAAAACATTTTATGTTTGTTATAGCCTAAATAGTAAGAAAAATGATAATTTTTCGTCAGCTATTTCTATTTACAACTGTAATATGTTTGGCGATGGCTATATTTACAATTTAAAACAGCAAAGCATATTTTCAAATTATTATATTCAACAATTACCTACTATTACGTTAGATTATACATTTAATACAATTAATATGCATGAAATAGTACAAAAAAAATCGTTTCATAGTATTTTAAAAGTATTAGTGGCAATATTTGTATAACTAAATGTGTTATCTTAAACTACAACCAGTTACTTTTGACAGTAGCGTGATATTCAAGCATATTTTACACGTTACAATAGTAATAGTTATTTAAATGAGATGTTATAAGTACCTACCTACTTAAAAAATGACGTTATTTACCTATCCATGCTGTTAAAGTATCATTTTATCTACCCTTGCGGTTAAAGTACTATTTTATCACTATTTTAAGTAAATATAAAAGGCAACTTTAAGAAAAAATATATAAATCATAACAATATATTGACCCCTTAAATTTTAACAAAAAAACTAAATTGCTAGGTGTTTTGTTTTAAGAGCAAATAAATGTTTCAGAATGATTCTGCGTTAGTTGATGTGATGGATTTAATTTAATAATAATAATAATCTATTTGAAATTGAATTTTCTTGGCATTTAGAAATCTATGGATAGTTGCCGATAATATGGTGGATTTAGATCAGTATATTTTGCCTAGTAAGATAGTTATGGATATCGCCATGAAAAATCAACAAAAATTAGAAAACAATAAATTTTCTATTGTTGTCAAGAAAACTCATATATATGTACATTGTTTGATCGGATACGGGTTATCTATTTTAAGTTAATTAAAAAAATATGATGTAAAATCATTAAAAACTAAGTCTATTCGAAACACTACAGTAGTGATTAGTCAAGCAAAAACAAATTGGACAAAATCTTCAATTACTCACGGGCACAAGACCACTGGGAATTTCCGAAAGAAAATAAATAAACTGCAATACAACAAAAAATAAAATATATTGAAAACAGTTCGGCACTGGTCTACACAATGAATATTACAATGATGTTAAATCTACTTTTTAGGCTTTTAATGTATGTACTTTACAATTTATAAAATTTCTGCTATCAGAACGTCATTGTGTTGTTTCTTTTAAATTTATAAAACGATTATTATCAAAATTAACAATAATGAAGATAATAACGGATTCATGGCCATAATAATTAGGTGTATAACATTTTTATTACAAATAAATATTAATTTTTTATTTCTGTGTTAATTAAGGAAGACCTATTACCAGTGGCGTATCTAGCACCGAAGGGACCCTGTATGTAAACTCAGGGGGGCTATACAGGAAGCGTTGCAGGCCAAAAAAATTTAGGTGCCACGTCCAAATAGATCTATTTTAATCAAACAAAAAATCTTTTTAAGGATATCAGTTTTTTTAATTCACCAATTCCTTATAATTTAATAAATATACAGGGTGTTATGTAATTAATGTTATATATTAAAATGGGTTGTTCCTTAGGGTCCATAAAGAAGCACCTAAAACTTTTTTTTCTAAATTCCAAAGTCTAAAAATAATTTATAATATCCTTTATCCTACCAAAAAGTACGCCACTGATCGACTAGGAACTTTAGGCTAATCTGGTGGATTTATTATGTTATGGTTGGTAACAACAGTGTTTCCAAAATCTCTCAAAAAAGTTGACAAACATTGTTTAAATTTAGCTTAATTACAAAAATGACAAAATTAACAATGCAAATTGTCAATTTGGCGTTTTTATTAATTGTTGGTTATGTCATTTTTGTACTGAAGGTAAATTTAAACAAAATCTGCCAACTTTTATGACAGAATCTAGTGCATTTCTTTCAAATTTTAGGTTATGTTTTCAAATTGTAAATATCTTAACTAAGGAAAGTGCTTTTGGATTTATTTACACAAATTAAATGTTTAAAGTTTAACCTGTGAACTGGTCCCAATTTCATCTGAGTAAACAGAAAGAAAAAAACTGATGAAAAAATTAATTTTGTGGTTATGGATTTTTTAAAATAGGTACTAAATTTTCTAATCATTGCTTAAGCTAATAGCTGGATGAGTAAATAAATACAGAAGGGTATTAGAGCTTTAAGGGCATAAAACTTTTGTAATTATTGAGTTTTTATTTTATTTTTTAAGAAAAATTTTTAGTAACAATTTTTTACATCTGGCAACGCGCAGCTACTTTGTTGGTTGGTATCTATGTACTCACAGAATGTGCAGAGATAAACCAAGTGTGTAACCAGTGGCGTATCACAAAAAATATAAAAAACTTCTAATGCATATTTTTTCTTTTTCTTTGGAAAAATATTTTTTTAAATATTTTTCCTTTATTCCTTATGTCAAAAGGTATTCAGTATTTTAATATATAACATTAATTACATAACACCCTGTATATATTGTTAGGTATCTACAGACCTTCTAGCCGGGGGGGCCATATCATTGATACAGCTGATACGGCGGTAGCTACATCCCTGCTTATTAAGTATAATTTATTATATTTTAATTGAAAAAATATGTTTTCTGTTTTTTTAATGCGTTTTTAGATTTTTCCGGTGAGTTTTATAAACGTTTTTGAAAATAATTCAATACATCAATACATTTTGAATTACAAATAAATATTTATATTTTTCTTTTTAACAATGTCCGAAAATGCTTCCTGGGAGCGCTATAGGCCTTTTAAACTGTTTCGCAAAATCACGTTTTTATTAATTATTTCATAAATGGTTGGTGCAAAAATAATGAGTAATTTTTTGGGCAATAAATCATCTGGTGGTGTCAAATCTAATAAATTAAACAGGGGCTACTCAGGGAAAAAATTCTCGTAACTTTTTTGTGGGGTTTTTCTTGATCTTGGAAAACAATTTTCTCAGATATCGAGTTTATGAAAAAAAATCTTATAGGGAACCTATTTGGGGGAATCACTAGGACCACAAAAATTGCCTTTATTAAGCAACCCCTGGGACTGTAGCCACCCCAACTCAATTTTTTTAAAAGAGAACATCCTCTTTGTGATACCACATTGGAAAACTCTTAAAAATTGCTATTTAACAGTACTTAAAAATTACTTTTTGATAGTTTAATTTTTTTTTAAAAACGCAATAATTATTTGAAACATTATAATGTTTCTAATTATTTATTCCAATTCCTTGTTATAAATACTAAAATAACAAATTAAACCAATTTTTTAAAAATTAAAAAATATTTTTTTAGTACTGTTAAATAACAATTTGCCCCAGGGGTTGCTTAGTGAAAGTAACTGATTTCCCCCACATATCCTAGAAACGATTTTGAGAAATTTATAGATCATTGCTCGGTTTTAAATAGACATCCTATATATGTATGAACACTAGGGTGATTCAAAAAAAGCCTTTTTTTAAAAATGAACCCGCACTGGCCTAAATTATAAAGATTACATTAAAACTAAAATATTGATACCAAAAAATCCAAATTCAATGAATATTTAGAGGTCGCTCAAATCAATTTTCGTATTTTTGCACATTCGAGCCGCGAAATTATTACTGCACAAAATAGTAAATAACTTCGTTAGTTTTTAATCGATATTATTAAAAATTTAAGGGTTACCTAGTTTTTTAATACCCTTTGAGATAATGTATTGAACTTTACAGAAAAATTTTTTTTTTTCATGAAAAAAAATAATTTGTTAATAAAAACGTATCATCTTATAAAATAAGCAACAATTGGAATCGCACTATGATGGTACCGTAAAAAAACTAAGAAAATAACACTTAAATTATTTAGTATACAGAAAACCTGCCGAAAGAAATATTTTATTTGATTTATATAAAATATAACCTAAAAATAATTAAGTAATTTAGATTTTTCCCATTTTCAAACGATTTTATAAATAATTTATATCCGTTTTATTAATTATGACGTATTTTTATAATATTTCTTTATTTTTAATACCATATTTAATTAATTAAACTAGGTAGTTATTAAATTAGGTCCTTTTTACAACTAAAATAAAATAACGTTAACTACAAAATTATTCACTGCATTGATATGGCTTAAGCAGAAATTTAAATTTTATTAAAATTATTGACATACAACAATTCAAAAATTTTGATACCAAAATTATTTGATTCTGTCTATAGATGTTGCTAAATTGACATACCACAATAATAATTATTATTCTTAAATTTTGTTAGTAGAACCTACTACCAGGTAGTTGATAAATTATATAAATATAAATATATATATATATATATAATATATATTATATATTATATATTATATATTATATATATATATATATATATATATATATATATATATATATATATATATATATATATATATATATATAAATATTATTTACTTAATTCAAAAGCGTCTAAGTACCAGATGGATGAACAAAGCTATATACTCTCTAAAGATTTTCTTATTTCGGGATCAATTTAAACTCAACAATGAAAATAAGTCATTGCGTAGAATTTGTATTTTTATTATTTCGTTTACATATAATATAACATATTTGCCTGGTTCCAAGCTCCAAATGCAACTTGCGCGCCCAAAAATGATTTGAAAACACTTCATGAACTTCATGTTTACAAAAATATAGATTTGCAAATAGAAGAGCGAATTTGTTTGGCATTTTTTGATAAAAGAGTACCTACTGTAACAAAAGAAAAAATGGTTGAAAAAATTAACATTAGAAACAATCATTGCAAAGAAAAAGATGTAGAGCAGTGGATTTTTTTTATTTTAATTATAAAAAGGACATAAATTAATAACTACTTAGTGTAATTAATTAAATATGGTATCAAAAATAAAGAAATTTTATAAAAATAGGTCATAATTAATAAAACGGATATAAATTATTTAGAAAATCGTATGAAAATGGGAAAAATTTGAATAACTTAATTATTATTACTAATAATTTATTAGGTTATGTTTTATATAAATCAAATAAAATATTTCTTTCGGCAGGTTTTACGTATGCTAAATAATTTAAGTGTTATTTTCTTAGTTTTTTTACGGTACCATCATAATGCGATTCCAATTGTTGCTTATTTTATAAGGTGATACGTTTTTATTAACAAATTATTTTTTTTTCAGGAAAAAAATTTTTTTTCCGTAAAGTTCAATTCACTGTCTCAGAGGGGATTAAAAAACTAGGTAACCCTTAAATTTTTAATAATATCGAATAAAAACTAACGGAGTTATTTACTATTTTGCGCAGTAATAATTTCGCGGCTCGAATGTGCAAAAATACGAAAATCGATTTGAGCGACCTCTAAATATTCATCGAATTTGGATTTTTTGGTATCAATCTTTTAGTTTTAATGTAATCTTCATAATTTAGGCCAGTGCGGGTTCATTTTTAAAAAAAGGCTTTTTTTGAATCACCCTAATGAACACTTTAAAAATGTTTATCATCATTTTTGTTTTGTATAATTTTTTTGTTTACTTTGCTAGAAGGTAGAAGGTAAGTATCTTAATGGATCCAAAAAAAGTTGACTGCATCGGTATATACCTATTTATCACCGGGAATTGTCATGAAGAACTTCTAGGTATTAAAAAATTATTAAAGGAACTGGAAGTTGAATCGTATTTGAGACGACAGCAAGTAATACTGGTCTCCACACTGGAGCTTTGGAAGAATTCTTAAACTTTCAGCTGCTTTTTCATGTTAGTTTGGCTCCATAATGGTCCAGGTGGACTATTCAACCGCTCTCAGAAAGTGTAACCAACTACTTAATCAAACTGCTTATAGCCGCAGCTGATATTGTCATGTTTTAAAATCCTTTATTTAATCGTTTAAGAAAAAAATACTTGGAAAAACAGCAACCACGAGATAATTATAAGGAATTGTTGGCATGTCTCTCCTGTTTCTTTGTCGATGAAATGCGCTCCCAGCCCTACACATCATGCTTGTTGAATGTCAAAAGCCATTTATGTTCTAAACATATACCTCTTTCGAAATAAGTTTTCTAACTAAAGAGCTTGGTTTATGTAAGATATTGGAATAGGGCTCCACTCCGAGTTGGAGCTCCCTATAATTGAATAGGTGAGATTAAGAACAGTCCAAAAATTTAATTTTGATAATTCATTTTCTAAAATCATTAAGTATAACTATAAAACAGATTAAATGAAATATTTCGTCAAAATTTTAACTTTTGGACTGTTCTTAATCTCATCAATTATATTCAGCTCTTATGCCGGTTTTACACCAAACCGACAAAACAGCAATTCGAGTTGAAAAAAACAAAACCGCAACTTTTTGCAGATTTTTTGAAGATTTTTCGGCAACTCAACAGTTGCTGTTGTGTTTTTCGTTTCCCGATCGATGTCGGTAACTTCAAAGAGTTGCTGCGTTTTTTGCAACTCAGTCGGCTTGGTGTAAACGTCTGTTATCAACTTGAGTTGCGGCGAGCTGTGTTTTTGTCATGTTGACAGTCGCGGCAAGGTTATTTATCAAAAAAGAATAAGTATATAACATCTTTGCACCACCATCATATTTCCTTCTATTTAATAAGGATCTCACCCAATACCTGCGTGTACGACGTTTTCTTTTTTTTTCTAAATCACGTACCAACAGCCAACCGCAAACGAGAAAAAAAGCGTTCCTCGTCACTATCCATGTTAATTTTTTTAAATAAATAATATAAAATAATGAACAACCATGTACTTTCTGAATAGAACTAAACAAAACTGCAACTGTTTCTCTGATGTAAAACGACAAAAAACAAAAACTCGACAGCAACTAATTTTTGTCTGTTTAGTGTGAACAGTTTTATCGTTAAAAACAGTTGAGTTTTTGTTTTTTAAAACAGCAACTCAACTAGTCGGTTTGGTGTAAAACCGGCATTAGTTATCCTAAAAATGTATTCAAGCATGTTTGGTTTCTTTCAGAGCACTTTTATTTTACGATGACAGAGTGTGCAGAAAAACTAAAGAAATAATGGTAAAAAACCTACTCTTAATATGAATTAGTCTAAAAAGCAGCCACTAATAATTCTCGTCGACAGCAATTTGTATCCCAGACATTTAGCAGTGAATTCTTATGTAAAATTGTCCCCTGAATCCGAAAGTATCGTCAAAAATTATGACAGTAGAGCAGCTTTTGAGATATAGTCAATTTTCCATGTAATATGGAATTGACTATATCTCAAAAACTGATCTAAATTTGTAATTTGACGGTATTTTTGTATTCAGGGGACAATTTTACATAAGAATTGACTGTTAAATGTCCGGAATACAAATTGCTGTGGACTACAGTTATTAGTGGCTGCTTTTTCACCATGAAAACTATTCATTTTTGACAAATTTATTTTTAGTGTCCAAAATTGTCTGATTGTCCAGTGGACAATGTCGCATTGATTAAACTATGGAAAATGATTTTACAATAGACATTTTTATTACTGAAAGAATCAGCTTTTTCTGTCCCTTGAACCCCCCAAACACCGACCTGAAGCCGCCACTGATTTATCGTCTTTCAAAATATAAAGGCATAACATGATAAATGTTTCACAATTAATACATATTATGTTTTTATACTATGGTCTGGAAAGGTAAGCCGATTTTGTTGCACTTCAGCTGTTAAGATGTACTTAAATTCTCATCTTATTAAAGAATAATTCCATTCAAAATGTTCTTTATTTTATTGGTTGGACATTTTAAATGCGTCTAAATGTTGCACCCGCGATAATGTATCAAAAATATTGTTTAATATTTTTTAATATCTTTTTTTCATAAACTAAACTTTTTGTTATTTATAATACATACATTAAAAACATAAAAAGTATTAAAAAATGAACTACCCTATTAGATATACAATTTTAGTACCTTTAATCTTAAATGGGCGTATAGAATCAAAACTAGCAAAACATAGAAACATCTAATTACATTAAAACTAAAAAAGCTATACAAATTAAGAGCAACAATAAACATTTTTTTGGTTAAATTTGCTAATTTTAATTCATTGCGCGTTTTTTTTATGTTTAGGTACTTGATGATGATTATATAGAAAAATTGTTTTAGAATAATTATACAGGGTGGCCATAAAATGTTATTAACATGATACCGAATGAAATTTTAGCTATTTTTTAATTTGTTAATGTCTTTTAATGCTTAATTTGCCATTTTTTTAAGACTGTATGATGACATACTTGATTATGTTCTCGTTATCTTTATTTACCTGTGTAGGCTGTGGATAAACTTGTACTCACAAAAGAGTTAATTACGTTAAAACTAAAAGAGATACAAAGAAAACGCAAGATATATATATATATACCATATTTAAAAAAAACCTACATCAATATCCATCTGTACTCCACTGAGTAACCTACAAGATAATTTTTTTTTTAATTATATTAGGGTCAAATAAGGACAGCTAAAATTTCATATCTTAATATTTTAGTGTTCAAAATCATTTTTTTAACACCTATAACTTGGAAACGAAAACCCGTAGGGTAGGTATAACTTCGTATAAAAGAACTATTATTTGACTGTTCAATTTTCTTTAAGATTTCTAGTAGGTACACCCTGTATAGTATATTTTTGTAAAAAGGGAAACAAAATTGGGTAAAAAAAATAAAAAACACTATTTTACCAAAACTATTTATGTGATAAAAATTGTAACTTATAAAAATAAGGCACAAATAAATATCAAAAAACGTAAAATGTTCGTAGACCAGCGTTATTTATTACTGAGTGAATCCCATGTTGTTTATATTTTATAATAATTTTTATATTAAACATTAACATGTGTCTGTGACGTGATAATTGCAAATTTTTTACCTATCGATCCTAAAATTAATTTGTACATCTTGCCGTGTTTTTTGTTTTTCGGTTCACAACACTTAAAATCCGTTTACATGTTCACGGGTATTATTTGACCGGATTGGCCACCGATTTGCCGTTTCCATTCCGGATTTTCATGGTGCACCGATTTTTTTTCGACTCGCGTTACTATAGGTGATATGCAATTTTTTTAAATTGTTACGACTACAATGAGCATGCCTTGACTAACAACCACTTTGCAGTAAGTTTGTCGGGAATCTGTACGCGGCGACGCCAAGTTTCCGGGATAAAAATACCTCAGTATACAAACAATGCCAAATCAAAGCATTGTAATGTGCATTATTTTTCTTAAAAACAACTTTTACGACGTAAAACTAACAACTTTTCTATAATTTTTGTATATTTTGTATTTTGGGTGTTTTTTGTTTTATTAGAAGGTCGACTTTGTATTGATTTCTAAATATTTGTGTACATTTGGCAACGTTCCATGAAGATCAGGCATATTGATCAACCATTTTCTGTCTCTTTTTACCGCACTACTGCAGGGTATGGGAAGGGATGGGCAATTTTTACTTTCTTATTTTTTTTTCAAGATATTTTCACTCCCCTTTTTTTAAATTTTAATTTAGGATGCAATTTAGATTTTGTAATTTTTGGTAACTAAATAATTTAATTTTTATATAATTTAGCAATATAAATCTATTTGTTTTTTGAATTTATCTTTGAAGTCGTTGTTTATTTTAAAAAGGGGGGACTGGGAAAGTTATAACCCTGCAGGGTTCGACCTTTAGAAAAAAAATATTACGAAAGTGCTTTTATTACTTTACTAGGTACAACACATTTTTGTACAACTTGTTTTGCAAAATAAATTTAAAATGAAATAATAGTATAATATTATATACGAGGTGTGTTCAGAAAATATCGGGAATTTTCGTTTTTTGAAAAAAATATTTATTTATTCGCCGCCTTCAAAATAGTCCCCATTGGATATTATGCACATATGCCAGCTCTTTTTCCAATACTCAAAACACTTCTAAAACTCGATCTTTGGGATAGCCTTTAGTTCTTTCAGCGATGCGCTTTTAATGTCATGCATGCTTGTAAAACGACGGCTCTTTAAGGATATCTTTATTTTTGGGAATAGGAAAAAGTCAGACAGAGGCATGTCTGGGGAATATGGAGGCTGGGGCATCATTACAGTATTGTTTTTGGACAAAAATTTTGTTCAAAATTTAACAATTTTGGAACAAATTTTGCTGCCACGCGTTTCATACCCAAAACATTCGAAAAAATTTCATGAGATGAGCCAATCGATATACCGTATATCGATTGGCTCATCTCATGAAATTTTTTCGAATGTTTTGGGTATGAAACGCGTGGCAGCAAAATTTGTTCCAAAATTGTTAAATTTTGAACAAAATTTTTGTCCAAAAACAATACTGTAATGATGCCCCAGCCTCCATATTCCCCAGACATGCCTCTGTCTGACTTTTTCCTATTCCCAAAAATAAAGATATCCTTAAAGAGCCGTCGTTTTACAAGCATGCATGACATTAAAAGCGCATCGCTGAAAGAACTAAAGGCTATCCCAAAGATCGAGTTTTAGAAGTGTTTTGAGTATTGGATGGTATATCATATACCAACATCATCAGCGACTTCTCTGATGGTTTATAACCATTTTTTCCACTTTTTCCATGTTTTCGTCAACTTCAACGTCTTCACGGCCATCTTGGAAACTCTTATAACACTTGTAAACTCTTGTTTTACTTATATATAGCAGACTCACTATAGGCCTTTGTTAACATTTCACAGAATTTATTTCATTTTTTTAAGCAAAATTGGATACAATTTTCTTTGATCCATTTCTTTTAACGAACGAAAATCGCCGAGCTCATAAAACACGTCTAACCTTAGCGGCTGCCACAGACAAAGTAAACGATGAAAACAGCTAAAGTTTTTATCATACTTCGGGGGCTTGTATACCAACATAATAAAGAAAATTTTATGACAACCGGACTCTCCGAACCCGCGAAATTTAACAATTCCCGTTATTTTCTTAACAAACCTCGTACGTAGGTACTGTTACAAGTTTGGAATGAGGCATATTTCGCTCGAATGAAAAGTTTGTCACACGAGCCAAAGGCGTGTTTAACGGTTTCACGAAAAAGTTTTTTTTACTCCTATTACGTAATATAAGCGTTTCAACACCACTTTTTAATGTGAAATTACATATATTCCTTAAAGTGTTACAGAATGAATTATTTTATCACCGGATGACGGAATAAACACATACTTTCAAACATACACAAATCATTTCTAACTGAGACTGTTTCCTTTTCGTAGGGTTAAAGTAGGGGAAGTGAAGTTACCCGTATGATTGCATTGAAGCGCATGCGTGGCGGCATTGCCGGTTTTAAAAAAATACCATATTTTTGTCCCTATTTGGGAAGTACATATAATAATTAATTTTTAATAAATTGTATAGAAAAAAGCATTTAACAATAAAAACAGACAAAATGAATGATCCCTGTTGTAAATGACCGATTAATTCCTTATAGAAACCAATTGAAGTATTGGTTGGTATCAATAGGTTTGAATTGGACTTACTGGGTTTAATTCGTTTTTACTGGTATTTTACATGATGGAAAAGCCCAAATAGGAATCTACTGTTTTTTAGTGGTTTCGATTGGTTAAAGCTACCCTAAGGTAATTTCCAATTGAATTCAATTGGTCATTCCTCGTGTAGCTGCGCAAAACCAACGTACGCAGTCCTTGTTCGAATTGTTGAGACGTCATCATAAAGAATCAAGTCTTTCGACGCTATTTAATGTAATTTTTTTATTAGTCGGTTTCTTTTATTATTCTGTGCTTAGTGGTAGTGGTGTACATATGGTGGTGTGTACTTACACCTTAAAAAATGTTTATAATAACACATATTATGTGTAAGGTTTAGGGACGATGGCGTGAGAATGGTGGTTACAGCGGAAAAACTAAAAAAAAATTTTACATAAATAATATTGATTTTGACCAGGCCAACAAACATCCTTTGCAAGAAAGACAAAAAAATGATTATAACCGAGTAATTTTATTTATTTTATTATTTTTTATTACTTTTTTTGTGTGAAGTTATATGTAACAATAAATATCTGACTAACACAAAAAAATAATAAAGAAATAAAGTTACTCAGTTTAAAATAATTTTTTTGTCTCTTCTGTGAAAAATGAATTCTGGCTTTTACCCGGTTATTCTTCTGGGTTCTTAATTATTTTTGAATGGAAAATCAACTGGTATTTTTAATCCAAATTTAAAAAAATAAATTGGTTCAAATTGGTTTGGCGCTATGAATTACCAATTCATTCCAGGAGCATTTCTATTGGATTTAGCCAATAGAGACAAGTATAGGCATGGATTGGTATATTCCAATTTAAGCCGCAGACTTCATTGGAATTTACCAATAGGAATGCAACTGGAAAGAATTGGTGATTCATAGCGCCAAAACACATTTCAAACCAATTACTTATTTTTTATTGGATTCTATCGGTTATTTACAATAGGGCTTCCTATGGTCAAAGTTGCGAAATAAAACAATTTTTATGAAAACAGTAACAAAAGTTTATTTCTTAAAAATATATTTTACAAAAGTAGGTATATAAAGTACAAATTTAGCTTACAATACAGGAGCTTTTAGTTCTCTTTTGGGTTCGTAGTTCTTGAAGCCCAGAATTACATTTTTCTAAAATAAAAATATATTATTTAGAAAAGGTCCAGTTATAAAAAACATGTTGGCCAAGTATCAAAAACCGTGGAAGTAAATTGTTGCTACTTTCTTACAAAAAAAACAGAAACACATCAATGACTTTTTGCCATCATCAGTATCGCAAGCAATATAACTAAAATTTCGAATTTTTTTTTACATTTTTTGTTTTGAAGTTTGTTTATATACAGGATGTGGTTATTAAAGTGTGTGTGTTTGTCTACCATGAAACCACAATGGCATCATGGTGTATTTTTGGCAGAGCTTAGCTCCTTTGCCACAGAAATAAAAGGAAGAAAGCTTCTTATAAACATAGATCGTCAAATGGCCCCTAAGGGGAGCTGCAGCCTCTTACAGGTGTGCTCCTGAATTTTTTTTATTATTTCCGAAAGAGTTTGAGATAAAACCATAAAATTTTATTTGCCATCTTAACTTTTATACTGAACTTAAAAATAACAAAAAAATTTAATTTTTTATTTATGATTGTATTAACATGTTATTTTTAGACCCAAATTGTTTGAATGCTGTTGGTTGGCTGCAGAATATAAAAATTTAGAATTTTCAAAACAAAAATGTTAAAATTCACGAAATTTTTGTTATGTTGCTTGCGCTACTTAGGCAGAAATTTTGTCCAAATTCATAATAATTTTTTTTGTTAAATTTTGCATCTCCATATTAAAGAACATTTAAAACAATTATGAAAAACTAAAAACTTACCAGAACTAACATTGTTTTGTTGAGATGTTTTATTTACATCCAAAAATTTTTCTTGTTCTTTTCTTTTACCCTCTATAAATTGATCAATAATTATATCATTATGGTTATTTTCATTTTTAACTTCACGTTTAGAAACAAAATTTAAATTTGAAATTTGGGTTTCACCATTGATTATCTCATTACTTGTTGCATCTTGTGGTACACATTTTGGGCCCATAAATTGAATAGGTGTTGCATTATGGATATTTTCATTTTGAACAGTTAGTTTGGCCTTTTCATATTCTTCCTCTTTCCTCTTTTGTTCCATAATAAAATAATTTTCTTGATTACCCGGATTTAAATATGAAATTCTAGTTTTATCTATTCTTCTTCCTCCAATGATTATATCATTATTTATACAAGTTGCATCTTGCGGTATATCTTTTTGCGAATTAAAAACTTTAGTAAAATTAATTAAATCATAAACGTTGTCAACGAGATCTGCATTATTATAAGGGAACCTCAAAGTTTGGTATTGATTTTCTTTTTTCAAGTGATCCCAATCAGAATGAGTAGTTAAGTAGTCATTAATTTTATTTGTTTGATTGGAATTTTTGTCTTCATTATTAATTATTTCGTGTTTAATTTTAATATTGTCTTTCTTAAGTAATGCACTTTGAACTGATTGTTTTGGAGTATTATAATTATAATTAATTAGTTCACTAAAATGTTGCCCTTGAATTGGTTCAATTTTACTTGTTTCC